CACTTAGTTTAGCGAATGTAATTGTTAAGTTTTATTTGTAACTTAACAATCGTCACAACAACCACGCAATGCAATTACATGTATTCACTAGTGGTTAGCTTCGTGAGGAATCTTCTCCGAGTTCTAGTGGGAAGTCGTGACCAGTGAAGTTCCCACCTGTCTGGATGCATACAGTGTATGAAGTTGCGCAACTCCGTGAAATGATCAAGTTAGACATTAACACCGTTAGATACCAGCTCAGTGGTCTAGGGCGTTCGCGCACAATACCGAAGGTCGTGGGTACGAATCCTGCGGCGTGCAGGAGTCGTGGATGCGCCCTGCCACTGAGGAGTCCCATACCAGGACGAAACGGCTGTCCAGTGCTTCCAGGTTTCTAATGGTGGTCTAACATTGATTGGTTCATTGTTACAAATAAAACTTAACAATCATCACAACAACCCCGCAATGGAATATAATTTTTCTCTCAATAAATTGTAATTTAAACGGTTTATTCTATGTTTATCTTGATAACTTGTCACCGAACACAAACACACTACACTAATCAAAACAATATACATGAAAGTAATAACTGTACTTACTTACTTACGCCTGTTACCCCAAATGAAGCATAGGCTGCCCACCAGTATTCTCCAACCAACTCTGTTCTGGGCTTCTCTTTCCAATTCTGTCCAACTTTTGTTCATTATTCTGATATCTTTCTTTATTTCTCGGCGTAATGTGTTCCTTGGACTTCCTCTTTTCCTTTGACATTGAGGGTTTCAAGTGAGGGCTTGTCTCGTGACTCAGTTAGGTGCTTTTGTTAATGTGTGTCTTATACACTTCCACCACTTCTTCCTGATTTCCTCATCCACTCGAATCTGGTTTGTTCTTTCCCACAGTAGGTTGTTGCTGATGGTGTCTGGCCAACGAATACGAAGTATTTTGCGAAGAAAACTGTTAATAAACACTTGTATCTTCTGGATGATGGCTTTCGTAGTTCCCCCAGGTTTCCGCTCCATACAGTAGAACTGTTTTGGTATTTGTATTGAAAATCCTTATTTTGGTTTTGGTTGAAAGTTGCTTGGAGTTCTAGATATTTTTCAGTTGCAGAAATCAAACCTTTGCTTTGCCTAACCGCACCATCACATCTGCATCGGATCCACCTTGATTGTCAATGATGCTGCTCATATATGTAAAGGTGTTAACATCCTCCAAGGCATCTCGATCAAGAGTGATTTGGTTGGTGCATGTTGTGTCGCATCGGAGAATCCACAATATACATCATTCTCAAACAGGCACGGCATGGATTGAATTTCTGCTCAGTTCTACAACCATAATAATAGTCAAAAGCTAACAATGTTTCCCCCAATCGTTGGGAATCCCTAAGCCCTAAGAAGGAAAATTTCTTAGGATGTGGTTAGAAATGTTTGCAAATAACCGAAACTAACCTGAAGATAAATTCTACTCATCGTTATCTACGTGTTCAAGAAACAAATACAATTCATGTTGAAAACAATGTTCAAATGAATATCAGTTTATGGTAGAGTGATCAGTTTGCTCCAGAAAGGATGAGGAGCGCAGTCAGCTTAGATGTAGGCTGACAAAAAGCCTACGCAATGATCGAGAACAGTGGTGGGTGGAGAAAGCAAGAGAGATAGAAAAGGCAGCGGCGTTAGGCAACAGTAGACAACTAGTTACACTCATCAAGGAAACTGGTATTAGGAACACAAGTGTGAGTGGGACTATTTCGGAAAAGGATGGTCTTATTATCCATTCTCAATCCACGGGACTGGATCGATGGTCAGAACACTTTAGGGATCAGTTCAACTGACCTCGAGCCACACTTCGGTTACCCACGATCTCCAGTCATCCTGAATGGCAAATCGACGTAAATCGCCCTAGTGTTTATGAAGTTGAAGAAGCGTTAGGAAATATGAAGAGAGGGCGAGCTGCAGGTCCTGATAGACTGACCCCTGAGATATTTAAGGATGGTGGTTCAGTTTTATTAGCTAGGTTGACTGAGATGTTAAGTAGAGTCTGGGAACTGGACGTAATCCCATCCGACTGGTCTCAATCACTGATTGTCCCAATCTATAAGAAATGACAAAAGTCTTCTTGTGACAATCATAGGGGAATAAGTCTAACTAATATAGTATCTAAAATATTGGCCTCAATAATACTTCGACGCTTAACGAAAGCTCGTGAAGAGCAAACTCGAGAAAACCAGTCTGGTTTTCGACCTGGACGTGGTTGTATAGACAACATCTTCACACTACGACAGGTCCTGGAACACAGACACACATTTAGGCGTCCTACAATAGTTGTTTTCCTGGATCTTAAGGCGCCATTTGACTCTGTGGATTGTGAGGTTGTGTGGCAGTGTCTATCATTGAAAGGTGTACCAAAGAAGTACATTAACCTTATACAAGCACTCTACTCGAACACCACTGGTTGAGTGAGAGCATATGGCAAACTGTCATCTGAATTCTCTACATCAAGTGGTGTCCGTCAGGGATGTCCACTCTCGCCATTCTTGTTTAATTTCATCATAGACATGCTCTTAGAAATAACCTTATCTTCGTGTGAATTTTCAGAGGTTTACCTTCTACCAGGAGGCTTGCTTACTGACTTAGAATATGCCGATGATATAGTTCTATTTGGTGAAGACGCTGACAAAATGCAGAGTCTTCTGACTACCCTAAGCAACAATGCAAGCATGTTCGGCATGCGGTTCTCACCCTCAAAATGCAAAATGTTGCTTCAAGACTGGGTTGCATCGGCACCTGAACTAGTGATAGGGAGTGAAGTAGTCGAGTGTGTAGACCGCTTCTCTTATCTTGGGAGTTTCATCAGCGCTGATGCACTGGTGACTGACGAAATCTGAGCACGGATACAGAAGGCTCGATTGGCTTTTTCTAACATGCGTCACTTATGGCGTAGGCGAGACATCTGTTTACTGACTAAAAGACGAGTGCACTGCTCAGTAGTTCGCTCCGTCTTACTTTATGGCTGTGAAACATGGCCAATGAGAGTAGAAGATATTCGTAGGTTACTGGTTTTCGATCATAGGTGTATCCGAAGCATTGCTCGTATATCGTGGGACACCCGAGTGAGCAACGCCGTTATTTGGAGACGGGTGCTAGGTAAGAATGGCAGATCAATAGATGAAGTAATGAAACTTCATCAGTTGAGGTGGTAGGGACATGTGCTGCATATGCCTAACAACCGACTGCCACGACGAGCTATGTTTTGTAGTGTAGGAGTAGGTTGAAGAAAGTTAGGAGCGGACAGACCAGCACATGGCAGAAATGAATGAAGTCATTGACAAGTGGACTTAGCCATGTTGGTAATTGTCGACTACCTGGTTGGGGTGTGCGAGATGATAATAATCGATGGCTAGAGACCTTGAATGACATGTCTCGAAACCGTTTGTAATGGCGCCGGTGCACTTATTCTCTGTGCTCTCTCAAATCGTAATCTTCTGGATTCTTCAACACCTCTAGTTTTGACTTTCTTAACTTATTTCACTGAATTATACTTCTTGAATAATATCTTTTAATCCTAATCTCTCCGATTACTTCTAATACCTTTACTACTTCTACTACTATTGGATTTAAATTGACAATGATATCTCTGTGTTGATGTGGTATGGCAACGTGAACTGATGTACTCTCATGTACGAAGTTCTACGTTGCATCTGACTGACTAAGAAAGGAATCACTAACTGTTATCATTTGAAAATTTTTGCATAAATGTCATTTTAGTTGAAATTCAATGATGAAATGAGATGGCAATGATGCGTAAACAAAACGAGAACATTCATGTCAAACAAGTGATCTCCATACAATTTCAATTATATTCAATAATAATATTACTAAGTGATCTAGGTCAAATGTTTAACCTTAACTGGGTCAATCTGTCGAGGAAAATTATTGATCACCAATAAAATGCCACTTTATCTAAACGTCATTTATCGGAAAATGCATACTTTTCTTATGAGACTGTTATTCGTCATCTATTCTAATGTTGTATGTAACGTGCAGTTGGTAAAAGCGTGTATCCACATTTATTTCTACCGAGTGACTGAGATGTTTTAAGGACATTGGATGACAAGCAAATAAGGTCAAGTGTATCGATTTAGTTTTCTTTTTGTAGAAACCCTCAATAGGATTATATGAAGTTCTCATTGAGGAAGGTCACTCTCAAAGATTCTTGAAGAATAGTAGATCAGGTGACTGGTTGTACTACATCTCGAATATCTCACTCTTTCACCATAGTAATTTTTTACACTTCAAATATACACAGTTGAATAGAGGAGCATTTTCGACAACAATTCACTTCAAGATGCATCTCAAATGCACCTCTAAAATCAAAGATTTATGCAGCTAACGTTTTAAAATCACTGACTACATTATTAAACTAATTTGGAAGTTTTCAATATTTAAACAAAGGTTGTCACATTTCGACAACATTTTGGATGACTATTTTCTTTGCATCATTGTCAGATAGACATTCAATAAAAACAAAATCTTCAACTTCAGACATCAATAAACGACTGAGAGTATTCTTCTAATCAGCTGTTGAACGACACCTACAAATTTATGACTATAACTGACAGACTATCTAGATAAAACAGCACACAAAGCTTCAGTGTCATTCCTTCAACTAAATGAGTATTTTATTTCGACGTATATCTTTTTCGATGAAGAACTAATCGTCAATCTGACCGAGGTACTTAACTCATAATAAAAAAAACCACTGGAATTTTACTGACATTTAAAATGACACATTTAAATTGTTCCAAGTTCATCTCTATTTTCAATAAATGATATTCTAAACACTCATTCACCAATCAAATTGTACAAATGTTTGTTTATATTTTTTGCAGACACAAATTAACCAATCATATTTGTAATATAATAGTAGTGTCATTTTGATTGGTTAAAATCAAATAGATATATCAGTATAAATGAGGTTATTATACTGCATAAATTTGACTGAATCAAGCTAAGAACACAATCATGAAATCTTTTATAACTAATTATCTATGCTTATTGTTCATCGTTTTAATTCATTTTACTTATAAATGTTATTCTATACTTCCTGAAGTATCTCAACATCATATGACAGGAAAATATTATCATATTGATGCAAATCTCATCTACGATCATCCTTATTCAAAATGTTACATTTTAATGAATGCATTGAAACGTTTTAATGAACGTCTTACATTAATAAAACAATATCCTAAAATTCCTATGCATATATCAAATACTACAATTCATAAAATGAAAATATTCATTACTAATGAATGTAATGAGACAAATAATGAACTATGGCCTTCAGAATTCATGAATGAAACATGTAATTGTCATTTTATTCAATCATTCAATCAAAAATTCTATATTTTACAGATTCAATTCTTATTTTTAGTGAGAAAATAATTTTACAAGCTGAAGAAATTTGGGGAATATTACATGGATTAGAGACAATACTTCAATTAATCTATCGAAGTCCATTAGAGACGGTAAGATGAAATTAGTCCCATATATTTTTATTTTAAAATCAGAACATCATTGAAGGTGGTTTGATTTCGGATGAACCATTATTTTCTCATAGAGGATTTTTGATTGATACTTCAAGGCATTATTTATCAATAAAAGAAATTGAAAAATTCATTGTAAGTATGAATTGTGTTTTCTAAAAGGGATCTTTTATTTATTTACATTATTTGGGGTTGTTGTGAAGATTGTTAAGTGACATATTTTTAAAACCATGAATCGAGATCAATGTTAGAACGCTATTAGAAGAAACCTGGAAGCACTGGACGGCCGTTTCGTCCTGGTATAGAACTCATCAGTGGCAGTGCTCATCCACGACTCTTGCACCCCGCAGGATTCCAACCCAGGACCTTCGGTATTGTGCACGTGCGCCTAACCATCAGACCACTGGGCTGGTATCTAACGGTGTTAATGTCTAGCTTGATCAATTCACGGAGTTGAGCAACCTCGTACACAGTCTTCGGTAGTAGTTACTGTCTACACCCGAACAGGTTGAACTTGACTGGTCACATCTTCCCACTAGAACTCGTAGAAGATTGCTCACGAAGCTAGTCACTAGTGAGCACAGGTAATTTACATTACGGGGTTGTTGTGAATATTGTTAAGTAACACATTTTTGAAACCATAAAAGTTCCGAAAACAGATATTTATGACTGACCTATGAAATGATTTTCAACTTATCTTCATACATAATTCTCGCTTACGTATAAATCAGTTTCGTAAAACTATAATAGTCTGGTTATAATTAGGTAAACATCATGTTGTGAAAAGATTATTACAGTCCATATCATGTATATTAAGCATTTTATCGGGAAAGACATGAATTACACAGTTGTGCTTTACACTCGACTAGTACTATCTGACTAGTTTGCACACTATTTATAAACTTATATTATTTAAGCAAATCAGCTACAATGATATCTATTTCTGTTATACTTCTTCAGTGTACGTCTGCCACTAATTTACTGTTATAAATTATTTACAGAGCGTATTTCGGAAATACTACTCTCACATACTACCATCAATAATCCAAACATAGTCGTGATTATTTAGTGCAAGTTCTGAACTAGCGCTTATAAAATATCAGATTTCTACTGACCAGAATGCTTAGATTATCATGTGAGATAATATTTTAGAAAATGTTTCTTTAGAAAGGATAAACATATGACTGAACACATGTGATATGTGTACAAATCATCTATGCGGTTGATTAACAAACTAGTATGATTATGAACATGCTTACTCATTATATCCATTGTTGCATTGTTGGGTTTTTTTATTTTACGCCAAAAAATGAAACCCAATCTCATGATTAGGTGTTCTCATGCTTAAGTTATATTTTTATTGCTAAGTTAACACTACCGCACAATAGATGCTGTAAGACTTTCAAGTTTAGCAAAAACTTAATTAATGAGTAGCTAAGAATGTACAGCTTTTCACGAATTAGGAGATCAGAAAAGATTTCTTCAAAATTAATTGAAATTATTTCAGTAGGTCTAAACATACATAAAGGAAAAAGCAAGATTCTGCGATACAACAAAACATGCACCAACCAAATCACTCTTGATGCAGATGCCTTGGAGGACGTCAACACCTTTACATATCTGGGCAGCATCATCAACAATCAAGGTGGATCCGATGCAGATGTGATAGTGCGGTTCGGCAAAGCAAAGGTTTGATTTCTGCAACTGAAAAATATCTAGAACTCCAAACAACTTTCAACCAAAACCAAAATCAGGATTTTCAATGCAAATACCAAAACAGTTCTACTGTATGGAGTGGAAACATGGAGAACTACCAAAGCCATCATCCAGAAGATACAAATGTTTGTTAACAGTTGTCTACAAAAATACTTCGGATTCGCTGGCCAGACACCATCAGTAACAACGAACTGTGGGAGAGAACAAGTCAGATTCGAGTGGAGGAGGAAATCAGGAAGAAGCGTTGGAAGTGGATAGGACACGCACTGAGATAAGCACACAACTTTGTCACATGACAAGCCCTCACATGGAACCCTCAATGTAAAAGGAAAAGAGGAAGGTCAAGCAACACATTACGCCGAGCAATAGACAAAGATATGAGAGGAATGAACAAACATTAGACAGAATTGGAGAGGGATGCCCAGAACAGAGTTGGTTGGAGAAAACTGGTAGGCGGCCTATTCTCCATTTGTGTTGACAGGCGTAAGTAAGTAAGTAATTTCAATTAATCAAACTTCATAGGAGTTTTTGAATCAGTCATTTAAACAATTACTTAAATTTAAACAAAATAAGCGGTAATTAATCGTCCAGTTTTGTTTAAATGTTGATATTGAATATTCACTAAAAGCGAGAATATGAAGGTCACATAGTTGGTCCACATTGGGAGTTTAAATTTATGGAAGATGAAACAATGTTGTCTTTTTGAGTTGACAATGATTCTGATGGAGTTATCGTGGACAAACGTGAATACATTCATAAATTACCATATATTTGCAAATGATTCCATAAGTTGGCATAATCGAAAATACTCAGAAAGCTATAAGTGGCGACTTTTTAAAAAAAAAGATTTTAAGTAACTCTGGTAGACGAACTAATTCGAGAATCTTTCAGGCGATAAACTTATTTTACAAGGGTTAATAGTTAGTTACGTTATATATGCGGTTTACTTAGCTTACACAAACCAATATTATCTAAGAACAATTATCTTTCCATTACGGGGTTGTGAAGATTATTAAGTTACACATTTTTGAAACCATGAATCGAGATCAAAGTTAGACCACCATTAGAAATCTGGAAGCACTGGACGGCCGTTTCGTCCTGGTATGGGACTCATCAGTGGCAGTGCGCATCCACGACTCCTGCACCCCGCAGGAATCTTCTCCAAGTTCTAGTGGGAAGACGTGACCAGTCAAGTTCAACCTGTTCGGGTGTAGATAGTAACTACCGAAGACTGTGTATGAGGTTGCGCAACTCCGTGAATTGATCAAGTTAGACATTAACACCGTTAGATACCGGCTCAGTGGTCCGATGGTTAGTTGTTCGCCTACAATACCGAAGGTTCCGGGTTCGAATCCTGCGAGATGCAGGAGTCATGGATGCGCACTACTGATGAGTTCTATACCAGGACGAAACGGCCGTCCAGTGCTTCCAGATTTCTAATGGTGGTCTAACTTTGATCTTGATTCATGGTTTCAAGAATGTGTAATTATCTTTCCAAAAACCTGGTTTATGAGGTGTTTTTAACCTATCCGCAAGAAATCAATTCCTTGCAATCTGAAGGATACTTTCCAATCTTATAAAAATCTTGGTAGACAAAATATGTGTCTGATAAATTTATGATATCTTTCGACATCTCATTACTCAGGTTTCTAATGGTAGTCTAACATTGATTGATTCATGGTTTCAAATGTGTAACTTAACAATCTTCACAACCTCGTAGTGTAATAATTAACCACAGAAAAATGCCACGATGAAAATTGCTTATTCAGTAACCGAACTGATTACTTCACGTGGGACAATCAGTTTTTCTCGAACAGACAGTAATAGACAGGTACTCTTTTTAGCATTTACCGATTTACATGTAGCTCCTGAAGCACATGTACTGACTGGAAGAACAGAAACAAGCGTTCCTGTTCTCATTTCCAAGCATGGTCCAAAGAATTTGCGACTAAGAGATTCACAGTTTCTTATCAGTCCAATTGCTCACATGTAAATATATATTTATATGTCTGTATGTATATAACACCGTTAGATGTTGGCTCAGTGGTACAGAGGTTAGGTGTTCACGCGCAAGACACAAGGTCCCGGGGTTCGAATCGTGTGAGGTACAACAGTCGTGGATGCGCACTGCTGATAATGGTCTAACAATGATTGATTGATGATTTCAAAAATGTGTAAAAACACTAATCTCCATATCTCTAATTGAAAAATCGTAAAATATGCTTACTAGTGACTAGCTTCGTGAGGAAAAATTTGGAGTTCTAGTGAGAAAACGTGACCAGTGGATTTTGACCCTGTCGGGTATAGGCAGTAACTACGAAAGACAAATAGGTGAAGTCGAGCAAAATCCTTAGATGAATCAGAGTTAGACATTAACACCGTTGGATGCCGGCTCGGTGGTCCGATGGTTAAGCGTTCGCTCACAATACCGGAGGTCCCGGGTTCGAATCCTGCGAGGTGTATGAGTCGTGGATGCGCACAAATGATGATTCCCATAGCAGGACAAAACGGCCATCCAGTGCTTCCAGGTTTCTAATGGTGGTCTAACAATCAAACTGACTGATGATTTCAGAATATATATTTATATATATATAATATCATATTCAAGTAAATTGAAATGAAATAGTTTAACCTTGAAAATGAAAACTTTTATTTATTTACCAGTTAATTCTGTGTTATTTACTATTCACTTGTATAAACATAATAATGAAATAGCTTGTATGTTCTTCAAAACCAACATGTCTTGGTTCAATTTAAAACAAAACAATCCATCCATTGAATTTTGAACACAATACAGTCTGATGTATTGTAGAGCAGTTGTCTTTTTGCTTAAAGTTCATTCTTTTAATTCTGTATGGAGAACAAAATATGAAAATTATTCTCTTAAAAATGACAAACAATACTATTTTTATGAAGAAAACAAATTTCATGAATATATTTTTGAAAACAAAAATTTTGAAAATAATTCTACTACTACTACTACTACTACTAATACTACTACCTATTGATAAAACTTTAAAATATGCTTGTTAACATCTAAACTATACATTTGAAAGTTTATAGACATGAGAAGAATAATTTTGAAGAAGGCCTATACCACTCTATACGATAAAATATTTCGGTCAAAATAAAATGTAGTCGGAGAGAGAGAGTAAGGAAATGAACAAAGCCATTTGAAAGTAAAAAGTGAAGCAGAAGGACAGAATGAAAGCCTTTGAAAACTTAAGATACCAACCATAACCGATTAGACTAAATAGGTTACGTTGATTGGTGTAGTTCTAGATTTCCTTTATACATCACAATGGGTTCGATAATGTTAGGAAAATCGGAAGACTTACTTACTTAAGCCTGCTACCCTCAATGGAGTATTGGCAGCCCACCAGTTTTCTCCAACCAACTCTGTTCTGGGCTTCGCTTTCCAGTTCTGTCCAATTTTTGTTCATTCTTCTCATATCTTTCTCTATTCCTCGGCATAGTGTGTTCTTTGGCCTTCCTCTTTTCCTTTCACCTTGAGGGTTCCATGTGACGGTTTGTCTCGTGACGCAGTAAGGTGCCTTCCGCAATGTGTGTCCTATCCACTTCCAATGCTTCTTTCTGATTTCCTCCTTCACTGGAATCTGGTTTGTTCTCTCCCACAGTAGGTTGTTGCTGATAGTGTCTGGCCAACGAATCCGAAGTATTTTGCATAGACAACTGTTAATAAACACTTGTATCTTCTGGATGATGGCTTTGGTAGTTCTCCAAGTTTCCACTCCATACAGTAGAATTGTCTTGACATTTGTATTGAAAATCCTGATTTTGGTTGTAAGTTGTTTGGAGTTCCAAATATTTTTCACCTGTAGAAATGCAGCCCTTGCTTTGCCAATCCGCGCCCTCACATCTGCATCGGATCCACCTTGATTGTTGATGATGCTGCCCAGATATGTAAAGGTGTTAACGTCCTCCAATGCATCTCCATCAAGAGCGTGTCCATCAAGGGTAATTTGGTTGGTGCATGTTGTGTTGTATCGTAGAATCTTGCTTTACCCTTTGTGTATGTTGAGACCTGCTGCTACACTGGTCATCTTCTCTTGCATTTGTTGTTGCATGTGCGGCCTAGGAGCCAGATCATCTGCATCCTAGCTGTCCATTGGATACCGTGCTTCCCTCCAAATGTCGACGTTTTCATAATCCAGTCGATCACCAGGAGAACGAGAAAGGTTGAGAGTAAGCAACCTTGCCTGTCATCATTCTTCACCTCGGACGAGTCTTTTAGCTGTCTTTCGTGTATGATTTTGCATTTGAATTCATCATAAGAATTCTGTATGATGTTAACTATCTTCTCAGGCACACCGTAGTGTCGAAGAATCAATGCACATAGGAGTAGATAAATGTATGAGCTTGTTTTTTTAAATCTTTGTTCATTACTAATCGACCATAGAATACTAACTTTAAGGTTACTATGGAAAAATGTAGTTTTAAACATAATAAGCATTCATATATTCAAGACGTTTACAGTTCTGTCTCCATGAAACTTAATGAACGCATCAATCATTCTGTAAGCAAGGACCACTGCATGACAGGTTCCGATGAAAAGATCCTCTCAGAGTCCAATCAAGTTTATTTTTTTCATAATTTCGTCATCCACAATTATTTTACATGTAATGATTGAAACTCACAAGTAGAAGAGTAGTTTTAAAATGTTGAAATTTCCAGTGGATGACCGAAGGAAATGAACTTGTTTGATGAATTTTCGAAGTTTGTAAATTCTTGAATTTAAGTAAAACAATTATTTTCCGCATAGATAGACATTCTTAACTGAAGAGTTCATGACCACACTGAACAAAGACTGAGTATATTATCGTTAGGGTTTTAAGAATTTTGATACAGTTAGAACGTATAGTTTGAGTATAATAATCTACAATTATGATGCATATTCAAGGGAGTGTTCAGATTTATTAGCCAGTAAAGTGTACAACAACTTTGGTTTACTTTAAGGAATCATAAACACATCTAACTGTTAACTAACTTAGCGTTACTTCAATCCATCATTAAAAACCAATTCTTAGTTCGATTTATTCATATGATGAAAATTTTTATGTTTGTCTTATTTTCTTACACCTTTCAAGGATGCAATGTCAATGGTGAAAATGAATGTGCTTCATTGGCATATTGTGGATGATCAATCGTTTCCCTATGTATCAGAAAAGTTTCCGAAACTTTCTATAAAGGTAAACATATATAAAATAATGAAGAATTTTGAACAAGTAGTAGTTATTTGCATTACGAGGTTGTGAAGATTGTTAAGTTACATATTTTTGAAACCATGAATCGAGATCGATGTTAGAACACTATTAGAAACCTGGAAGCACTGGACAGCCGTTTCGTCCTGGTATGGGACTCATCAGTAGTGCGCATCCACAACTCCTGCACCCTGCACTATTCCAACCCAGGACCTTCGGTATTGTGCGCGAACGCCTAACCATCGGACCACTGGGCCGGTATCTAACGGTGTTAATGTCTAACTTGATCAATTCACGGAGTTGCGCAACCTCATACACAGTCTTCGGTAGTTACTGTCTACACCCAAACAGGTTGAACTTCACTGGTCACGTATTCCCACTAGATCTCGTAGAAGATTGCTCACGAAGCTAATCACTAGTGAGTACAGGTACTTTGCATTACGAGGTTGTGAAGATTGTTTAGTTACACATTTTTTTAAACCATCAATCGATCAATGTTATTTGAATATAAATAGGCTTTATTTTGTTTTTAAGAATTAAATAACATGAGGTTTAACTAACATCTGTGTTGAACTTGTGAATTGATATACTGTAAACTATTTTGAGTTCACCTTAGTCGGGAAACGAGAGTGAAGAAAAATGATCCAGTGACATGATGGGCTACCTTAATTGGAGAGTCCTAAAGCTCCACTGAGTAAATGAAGAAGTCTTGATATGGCGTAGAAAGTGCGTTCTATAAGCACCCAAAAAATATTAGGTTTCACAGGCACACAAATCGAGTTTATTTATACAATATAGAAACATCCTTGGGATAGCCACAAAAATATCGTACTAAAATAATACACCAACCACAATCACAGTCAAAGATTTTCCGGGTGGGTAATGTAACTCCAAAGTCAACTGATCAGCCCATACTCAAAAACATAAAATCCAAAATTAGCACTTTGACCAATTGAGTTCTGGGGGTCTAACATCCCCAACTTTTTGATCTCGTTAGCAGGGCCAGGGATAATCAAATCGGAATAGCGTATATCGTGTCATTGGATCATTTGTCTTCGTTCTTGTTGAACAACCAAAGTGAATTCGTAATAACATTCAGGCATATTCATTGACGAAGACATCGACATCTGGAGGGAAGCACGGTATCAACTGGACAGTTAGGACGCAGCTGGACGATCTGGACTTCGCAGATGACCTGGCTCTTCTATCGCACATATCGCACACATCATTAAAGCATCCTTCAAAACAAACGAAGAGCACATTACGATGAACGTTATCCAATGCTATGCACCTATCAATGACTACAATAACGACGATGAAGATCAACTTTACGAAACGTTTCAATC